TCTAACCCCTGGTGCAGATTAAAAACACGTTCCCCAGGCATAGCAGCATTAAACGCACCTTCTCAAATTCCAGTCACCCTGCTAGTCCCAGTTAAATCAGGGCTGGAGGTGTTCCTGTTCTAAACGGTTGCTTTGTACAGTGTTAATGCTAGCCACACTCTACAGCAGCAGCCACCGCATTTCAGCAAGCAGTGAGCAGTCTTTTTGGGAACAGCTGTGTCCCACCCCAGAGGCACCAAGCGTGTGTGTGCACCACAAGGCTACGTCTACACTGGCCCCTTTTCCGGAAGGGGCATGTAAATTTCAGCAGTCGTCGTAGGGAAATCCGCGGGGGATTTAAATATCCCCCGCGGCATTTAAATAAAAATGTCCGCCGCTTTTTTCCGGCTTTTAAAAAAGCCGGAAAAGAGCGTCTACACTGGCCCCGATCCTCCGGAAAAAGTGCCCTTTTCCGGAGGGTCTTATTCCTACTTTGAAGTAGGAAAAGGGGCCAGTGTAGACGTAGCCCAAAGGTGTAAGTGAAGCACGGGTAGATAAATGCATCTAGCTTTAATATCTCGCATGAGTAACAATAGCAAAGAGCGGGTAGTACAGGCAGCAGTATGAATATCCGTAGAAGCCTACCAGGGACCATGGCTACTTATTTGAGAGGCTAGTCCATGTTACAGTCCATGATACAACATCTTTACTGCCCTCGTTTCCTGTGCACTCTAGGCTAAAGCTAGCATCAGTATGCCTTCTCCCAGTACAGGCATAGCCTCAGTACTGAGTGAGTGGTTGTTGTGTAAACAGCTGCTGTGCCTCCCCCTAGAAGTAGGTGCTAATGAGGCTTAGGGTATGTCTACATTTAAACTACAATAGCAGCACAGCTGCAGCTGCGCCACTGTAACGCTTCAGTGTCTACAGCGCCTGTGCCAACAGGATTCTTCAGTTGGTGTAGTTAATCTACCTCTCTGAGGCTACGTCTAGACTGGCATGATTTTCCAGAAATGCTTTTAACGGAAAAGTTTTCCGTTAAAAGCATTTTCGGAACACAGCGTCTAGATTGGCACGGACGCTTTTCCGCAAAAGCACTTTTTGCAGAAAAGTGTCCGTGGCCAATGTAGACGCGTTTTTGCGCAAAACAAATCTGAGCTGTCTACACTGGCCCTTTTGCACAAAACTTTTGCACAAAAGGGACTTTTGCCCAAACGGGAGCAGAATAGTATTTCCACAAGAAGCACTGATTTCTTACAGTAGGAAGTCAGTGCTTTTGCGGAAATTCAAGCGGCCAGTGTAGACAGCTGGCAAGTTTTTCCAGAAAAGTGGCTGATTTTCCGGAAAAACTGGCCAGTCTAGAGACAGCCTGAGACAGTAGCCCGGTCAATAGAAGAATCCTTCCATCACTGATCTACGCCACAGGCTAGGTCAGCATAACTGCATGTCCCTCCGTGCAGTTATGTAAATATAAGTGCCCAGTGTAGATCAGCCCTCCGTTATCTTTGTGAAAGATTTGACAAACCAATCCCATTTATTGGTATAATCTGCCCTTGGCATTAACCTCTGGCCTGGGTGAAAACACCTTCCTCGCTGCCCAGCCCCACTCTGGAGAATGGGGATGGAGAATCCCACAGAACAGGGCATTTTCACTCATGTGTGGCATCTGTACTGTGGCCAGCACCTCCCTTTCTGCACCTGTTAGAATTAAGAGGGAGACAAAGAATTACTCAGTGAGGAAGGAGAGCAAACAATGAATGATATTGGGAAGGCTGAAGTGGTTAATGCCTGTTTTGCTTCAGTCTTCGCTGGTTCATTGGGACCAGATACTTAATAGGGTTAATACAAGAACATGTTAAAGAAGTTAGATGTATTCAAGTCAACAGGGGCTATCTAAATGCATGATAAGGTAGTTAAGGAACATGCCAGAGCAATCTGCAAATCAGTAGCTACTATCTTCAGGAATATATGGAGAATGAACAAGGTCTCAGAGGAATGGGAGGAGAACACCTATCTTCAAAAAGGGAGAAATTACCGTAAGGTGGATGCTTAACCAATTGAAACTCTATCCTCCAAGACTTCTTATCAATGATTTGCTGTACTGGGAGTATATATCTAGTGGGGTTCTGCAGGGTCTGTCCTGACTCTAGTGCTATTTAATATTTCCATTCACGACTTGGATGGTGCAGTAAAGACTATGCTTATAAAATATGCAGATGAGACAACGCTGAGGGGAATTGCTAGCACTTTGGAGGACAGGGTTAGAATTCAAAGTGACTTTGGATAAATTGGAGAATTGGTCTGAAATCAACAGGGTGAAAGACAATAAAAACCAAGTGCAAAGCAGTACCTTGGGGAAGAAAAAAAATCAAACACCCAAATTCAAACCCAGGGGCTGTGTCTACACTGGGCCACTTATTCCGGAAAATCAGCCGCTTTTCCGGAATAAGCTGCGAGGTGTCTACACTGGCCCTTGAATTTCCAGAAAAGCAACGATGCTCTACTGTACAAAATCAGCCGCTATTCCGGAAAAACTATTCTGCTCCCACTCGGGCATAAGTCCTTATTCCGGAACACTGTTCCGGAAAAGGGCCAGTGTAGACAGCCCAGTAGTCTTTTCCGGAAAAGTGCGTCTACATTGGCCACAGACGCTTTTCCGGAAAAAGGGCTTTTCTGGAAAAGCAGCCTG